GATTTATTTTATAACTAGTGTTGTGTATTGTCCACTTGGGATAAGTTGCCTCAACGCTGATTATGATTAACAGCCGTTGGTGTTGGATCAAGTGGTCTTATTGGTTTGATAGAAGAGGATGTAGTGGTGGCGAAAAGAAAAATGCAATAAAACAAAAAGAAAAGAGAATATACTGGTTTCATTGCTCAGTTGGCTAAGAGGGCTACTTTTTTCTCTTACGATAATGCCTGAACCATATTACCTCAGCAGTTTTTTATTAGTGGGAAAACATGACATGGATGCCGCAAAGGCCACGGGACCCACAACCACTACTGCATGCACTACTACTATAAGGCATTATACATTGACCCAAAAGCATATGCTATCATGCTTATGCTGGCAATAACGCAACTTAATAGATTTAAAGATAGGAGGGAAAGAGACAAGTAATCCAAACTAGTAGAAAAGCTTCCAGCAAGGGAGGGAGAGAAACCAGGGAAAAGCCATAAATAAATGCACTTAATTTGTCATAGAAATTGTACCTGTGGATCATGCTCTAAATTGACATTGAAATATAAGAACCTTGTGTGTTTCAAGACACAAACTTATGATAAGTCAGTAGTGAGGTTTTCCTCAGACGGTAGTAGTAAGGTTCCTCGCAAGAATACCCTCAAAAGTAATCCCTGGTCCGAAGGCCAATATCAATCCCCATTCATTCTCTTCTTGGTCGACCTTCATCTTTGAGCTCTCTTCAAGCATGTACTCCAGCACATACACAATGGTGTTACTACTAGCATTGCCATAATCCATCAGAGCCTTTCTGCTTGCATTCAGCTTCTCCGGATCCAAATCAAGTCGCTTCTCGATTCGGTTCAAGATTGCAGGACCTCCCGGATGAACAGCCCAGAACATCTTATTATACCACTCCTTATCAAATCCCTTAACACCCATCAGTTTCTCACAGAACCCCTCAACACTATCTTCAATCACTTGTGGAAGCTCTCTTGCCAGCTTGAAGCTAATCCCTTCTTCGGTGAGCCTCCCATCAATGGTCTTGTCTGTTCCAGGCAAGAATCGCTGCATAGCTGAGTGAAGCTCAAAGAGAGGCTTTTCTGTCTCTGAAACCGGGTCTGACCCGATTATCATAGCTCCTGCACCATCCCCAAACAGTGCAACACCGACGAGATCATAAGGCCTATCTGCACTGGGAGGCTTGTAGCCAATAATGGTGGTCTCAGAAGTGGCAAGCAAAATTCTGCTTCCTGGGTTGTTCTCAGCAATGTCTTTTGCAACTCTGAGACCAGCCACGCCCCCTGAGCAGCCTACAAAGTAAAGCATGACACGTTGAGTTTCAGGGCTGAGCCCGAGCCCGCTTGCGAGGTAAAGATCGCCACCGGGTAGCCTGATCTCACTTGAAGAGACATAGACCAAGTGGGTTATGTCTGAAACTGGCCTACCCCAGTTCTTGATACAAGCTTGTGAAGCTTCAATGGCCATCTGTGTTACAGCGTCGTTGCATATGTCAAGCCTTTGCTTCACTGTGGATCTGCCTTCGAGGGCTAGCTCTGGGTACTTCTTCAGGATCTCTTCAGACATCACTACATACCTTGTTTTCACTGTTGTCGTCTTGCCTATAAACACCAGAAAGCAAATTCTTAATTGGGTTGACATTTTTTCAGCTTAAAAAGATGAAGATATATAAGAAGGTATGTTTGATGGTCTTACATAGTCGAGTCAGTTTTCTTTTGAGTTCCGGGTCATCGCAGTTGGTGTCTCGGAAATAGCCATCAACCAGATATTCTTGCATGACAAGCTGGTGAGGGAAGGCTTTTCCAAGGGCCAGAATTGTGGCTTTCCCTGGGGTGGCCTTCTTTGGAGAAGTTAGTCGGGCATCATCTAGACTCCCCATGTTTTTGTTTCGTTTCAAAAGAGTCTTAACAAATTCCCTAGCAAATGAGATTATGTGGGAACTTTCTGTTCTTTTGCAATGAAACAGACATTCGGTTGCTCCTATTTATACAGCTCCATTGAATGGTTATAGCATTAATTTAGATCAAAGGGTGTTATTTTGCTCAATTCCATTACAGCAAGAGCTGTGCAGCGTGCAAATTTGATTAAACTGTGTTTATTGGTTCAGTTGCGAAGCAAGCTTTTCATGCATGTTATGTTTAAAGTTGCTGGTAGAGATTTGTTGTGGGGGTTTGGGCCACCATCTACTGCATCAATAGCGTGATCGCTCAAAGTCAAAATAATATCTACCCCAGATCATGTATATTTTCTGGCCAAGTTTTACTGTTGTAACAAAGAGCCAAAGACAACCAATCACAGGGAAAAATAATAATAATAAAAATGCAAAATAATAATTAAAAAAACATTTGATAATTTATTGACAACAGAGTATGAGGCAGACATCGGCAATTTGTTAAAAATATGCCAATTTACAGATGGAAAGAAACTTTGAGGGACAAAAAAACAGTAGTAGAATCACGATATATTTGTTCATGTGCAAACATATACCTTTGAACTATGAACTTTTGCTGTTTGACCAGCCCATTCAAATAACAATTATCTGTTAATTCTCATGCCATAGAAATGGAGGTCCATGGGACCAATGCGAGTGTGATTAGACGAATCAAAGTTCAGAGAGGGACTTTCCATTGATGAAATCAACAACTTGTTCGACAGTTTGATCAAGAGCTGCTGTTACTGCTGCCAAATTCTGCAAGAATTCTTCTGCAGTTGGTTTCTCACCATCCACTATATCAGTGACAGCTTTAACGAATATTGTAGGCACTTTGAAAAGATCTGCTACATAGGCCACAGCCGCACCCTGAAAACCAGATTTTGGGATTACACAATGCAAAAGAAGGAACAAAATTTCATAATTTTGCATTTAAAAAAAAAAAAAAAAAAAACGCCTTGTTGATACAAATTGGAAGAACCCAAGAGTTTATTTTCTTAGTATCTACCCGTCATGTATTGCAGTTCCAAAACCCCAATTTGCAAAAAGCAAAACTATATGGATACAGTGTGGCAAGGCTCAAAGGCATCTTACTTCCATGTCTTTGAGCGTAGCATCATTTGTGATGATTGATGCTTCATCCTTTGGCGACATATCTAGAGAGTCACCAGTAGACAATTTCCCAACCTGAAGCATGTAAGCGTGTGTGATCAATTGCCAAGAGTAGTAGTCATCTAATCAAGGCGAAAAAAAGGGATAACCAAATGCAACATTGCATAAAAATAATGTCACAATATGCAAGGCAGTACGTCCAAACTTATTGCAAAGAGTGATCACCTTTAGGTTAAGTTCCTTCAGAAGATTGGGTGTTGGAAAGGCTGGTCGTAAACCAACTCCATAAAGATCAAAAACCTGCGTGTGACATAGAAGAGAGAGAATCAGTCCATCGCTGTTCGTCGCTAAAATTATATGTGGCACAAATGGCTAAGAACATAAAAGACAGCATGAGGCAGGGCTATGCTCAATAAAATATCTGCATTTACACACACACAACACAAACATAAACGCGTATATAGGGATTGTTTGACATTGCTTCCTTGAAGCTCCTCTTGGCTCCCTGGGTCCAAAAACCGCATTTAGGAGTATTTGGATGACCTTTTAGAAGAGTTTTGACTCTCCAGAAAAGCTTCCAATAAATGCCACGGAATGTAACTTCACACAAAAGCTATTCTATGAAGACTTTTTTAAACTTGTATCAAAGCTTCAATAAGATTTTGTAAATTTTATTCTAACATGGTTATTGCTTATTAGAAATTTTAAATCTTACTTTTGTCTCATTAAGCACTTTGAAAAATATGGTTCCAACTGCTAACCGATAAGTCGTGGCTTTTTCATGACCAAAATCAATACCGAATGGCCCTATAGAGTGGAAATCCTTTTGAGAGTATTGTGGTTTAGAACCCCCAAAGTTTGGTAAAGGCTTCCTTCCAGCTACACACGATAAACCAGGTGACGGGTATAATTATGCACTTTCATGATCTCATCCTATGTTCTCCCACGTAAAATATGTTAAAATGACTACAAAAGAAACTAATGGAATTTGGGATGTCATAAAATACAGCAAAATATATACCTGGTGGCGCAATGAGAAATCAGCAAAATGATTCAGTTTATTAACAACGAGATGAGTTGGTTTATTAACAAAGAGAAGAAGAAGTAAAAAAGGCTAATAAAACACTCACAGGAATAGGTATCCTTCTATCATGGAAAGCAACATCAGATGCAATAAACACATCTCCAATGCTTGCTCCTTTGGCCTGAAAGCATCCGTGAAGCAGTCATAATTATCAGTAGGAGTGAGCAAGCCACGCATGATTGTGCTCGTGTATGGTGAGTAAGCTGGTATGTATGGCAAAACATGTGTGCTTCACTGGTATACTAAAATGAACTTTCAGTGCATTGCAGCCAACAAATAAGGAGGGAAAAAAAGGAAAGAAATCGGTGACAAACATATTAATCATGCAAAAAGAACAACATCAAAACAAGATATCAAGATTGACAGCCAAGGGCATACTTTGAAGCCACCAGCAGTTCCAGCATTGATGACTAGGTCCGGCTTCAATGCTTGGATAGAAGCATAAGTAACAAGAGATGCAGAAACAGTGCCTACACTATCAACCCCTGGAAAGAAATTCAAGGAATGAGCAACAGGATTTCAGGAATAACAGCAACTAAATCTTTTCTTCAGATTTCAGAAAGCTGGTCAGATACATCTCTGAAAAAAGTGGAGTGGGGAAGGGGAGAAAATCATATCAGGAGATGCATCACTCTTTTTTTTTTTTTTTAATCCAGAAATCCCCTGAACCCACTTAGAAATAGAAGTATCCACATTGGACACGTCCCGCATTCATGTCCTCATTATGTAGTAGGTCTCTTATAAACACTTGAAGCTTTCAGAAGTGTCCATGAACCAAAGATAAACTAGATAATAATTAAGACTACAGATTAGACCTTGATAGGTCGGGCTTCGTTTTGGCACATGGCAAGGCTAGATCTACCTGGGAAAAAATCATATTCCACTTGGTTAAATACCATGAGCTCATTTAATCGATGAACCATAAAAGGTTACTCCCAAGGTAAGCGATGGTTGTTATAATGATTCAAGGTCTGAAATTTATGTTAGCTATGATATGCTTCTAGACAGGTGATACAATAAATAACCCAAAGCTGATTATGGACTATCTAAAGAAGTCTTGGCAAAACATTTAAAAAAAAAAAAGTAAAAATATAATATATGTATATATGTATATAAAACTAACCCAAAGATGAATCTTTTCCTGGCCAAACCAAATTGATCTGAAGATCCTTGTAAGTACCATAAAAGCGGACCCAAGGCACTCCATTTGGGAACCTGCACCAATCATACTTCGACACATCAAACTTAAGACCAAGCAATCTTAATGGCACTTGGCCTAAACTTGAAGCATTATAAATACATGTATACGAACACTCAAAAAGTCAAAAAAGTGATCTAGAAACCGATCGGAAAGAGATTAGAGAAGACAAAACATAGAGAAAAAGGAAATGAAAAGAAACTAACGGAGGGTTAGGATCCTCTGTGAGCTGGAGCTTGTTGACCACGGGAAGCGCTTCCGTCTGCATAGCTGTTACTCCCCAAATCAACACATCCACAAATCAGGGGGAAAAAAAAAAACATCGAATCAAAATCCTCGAAAAACTCGAACAACATGTGTGTGCGTGTGTGTGTGTATATATATATATATATATATATATATATATATAGAGAGAGAGAGAGAGAGAGAGTATAGAAGTACCGATGATGATGAGGGCGGTGGAAATAGGACGGTCTTGAGGTTCGTTTCCAGCTATGGCTTCCGCAGAAGCATCGGATTTCTCGGCGAGAGGAGCCATGGCGATTTGGTCAGTGAAAAATCTGCGCCAAAAAGCAGTGTTTGCTTTGGTTTTCGATTGATTGCGGCTGCTCCACAAAAGAAAGCAAACAGAACAGTCACTGGTGCAGTTTTCTCTCTGTTTTTTTTTTCCCTTGTGATGTTAAATAATGCTAAATTGGTGAAAAATCTATGATACGATACAAAGGGGTGAAGGTGTCATTCCCTAATTGGACGCCTATGCCTTAAAGTGGAAGTCTCTCCTATGAATATTTGCACGCTTTCCCACGATGTTTTCTAAGAGTCCGGTTCATATATTAAAATGATGAGATTATAATTATTTTTAATTTAAATATATTTTTTATGAGAGAAAATATTATAATGAATTATGAATTATAATTTAAATTAGAGAACGAATCCTCTAACCAAATAGGCTTTAACTTTTCTTTTTCTTTTCCTGTGATTTTGGGCGCATGCCATTTCCCCTTAAGTTTTTTTTTTTTTTTGTTTTGCTTTTTTTTTTTTTCATTTCAATAAAGCTACAAAGAGATAATTGGACCGCACCACAAAATTCCATACCTTATTTTGAAATTTAACAAAATTTTCAGAAGATTATAAATATAACAAAATGGCATAGCCATTATCTTAATAATAATAATATAATTATTATCTTAATGATATCAAAACTTTGATATTTTGTAATATTTTAAAATTTTCACTATACTTAAATTTTTATGTATTGAAATTTTGCAATATTTATAAAGAGTTCTAACTTTTATTAGATTCTTATATTGTAATTAGTGGCGGAGTTAAAATTTATTTTTAAAATGCATAAATAAAACTAAAATTTTAAGCTAAAATAACTATACAATTATTTTTTAAATTATTTCTCCTTTTTTTTTCCTTTCTTTTACCTATTTGTATATATTACGTTGTTTCAAGTGAACCAAGCTTTCAGTAGCCAAAAAAAAAAAAAAAAAAAAAAAAAAAATGCTCATTATGTGTGTGTGTATATATATATATATATAGAAAGGAGTATTTTATTCCCTAATTTGGTATTATGAAAAGAAATAATCACATATAATGTTAGCTAGGAAATATCCGAATTTGGGAAGGGTGAACATATACACTAGCACGTTTGTTAGGTATACAATTCCAATGCCAACTAATTTCATGCAAGTTGTCATCAGGGTATTGAAATTCAAAGAAAGGGAAGTGCATGTTTTTGACGCGTTGAAAATTAATATAGGGCAAGAATTATTGGAATTTTGCTCGTATATGCAAAAATTTAAATAAATAAAAAAAAGAAAAAGAAAAAGAGTAATTGGCCATGATGGGCCATTTCGTGGTCCTCGAGGAGAGGCATCAAAACCATTGTTATTCTAGAATGAACTAAGAACCAAACCAACTTACTATTGAATCCATCAAATTATCAAACATCATGTCAATAATTTGCACCAATAATACTAACATTTGAAAGAGAAACCGTGTAAATGCTCACTTTGGCTCTTTACAAATTACAGTCAGCAGCGAGACTTTTGTAAAAATAATCTAATAGAAAAGTTTTATTCATAAAATGATAATTCAAAAATTTTTATTTGCAAAATGACTTTATGAGAAAAAAGAAAAACGAAAAAAAAAGGAACCCAAAACCCCCTAATCAGTTTTCATGTTTTCATGGCTAAACATGTGAGCCCGCCGCACATCCCCACCGGAGATCCCGCCGACCATCCCCATCCCCACCCGCGACCCATTGCACCTAAGCAAACCCAGCCAAGCCCCATCCCTATCGCGCCGCCCACTTCGAGAACCCCAGCCAATCGCGCCACCCACTTTGAGAACTCTAGCCACTCGCGACGCTCACCTCGCGAACCCAGCCATCGCAATCGCGCCGCCCCCGATCAAGCCACCTCCCAATCGTGTTGGACTCCCAACTTTTCGTTATGAATTGAACCAGGCCTTCAAGAGCTTTCTTCCGCAATGGAGAGTTCTTCTTGCTCATGTCGGCCTCGCGAGAGAAGGAGGGAGCTCCGCGACTGGGCGATGGACTATGGTAATAAAATAAATAAAATTAAAATTAAAAAGTCATTTTCCTAATTTTACTTTTTTACTCGGTTATTTTAGCCAAATTCTCGTCAGCATTTCTAATTATGTAATTTTCCTTGTGGTTCATCAAAAATTATCCTTGTGAATCGTGATTGCTTTGATCCATATCACAACACAAGTAGAAACATAGATGGTGGGGATGGTATTCTGAGATAGATTTTGGAATGTGTATATGGTGGTAAAACCAAAAAGAGAAACAACTCGAAAACTTAGTAAAGAATGATATAGGTGAGGGATGGTTTGTTTTTTTTTTTTTTTTTACAATAAGTTTTGGAAATTTAAGTTATATTAGCTTAAATAAATATTATCTCTTAAAAACAAAAAAAAAAAAAGGAACAAATTTAAACACTTACAAGACAATCACACGATAAAAATTATTTGTATACTAATTTGCCAACAACATACATAGAATAAAATCCTAACAGTTACAAGTTCATGTTCTAAAACTTCAACTGGTAATTAAAGACTTCTTAATGTAAAAGTATATGGTAAGCTGGTATGCTTTAGTGCTGCAATAGAATCCTCAAATCTGTCCATCTTCCTAACGAATCATAGCTTCTTTTTAGACTCATGTACCGTAAGTCTCGTTCATTTCACTGATTCGAGTTTTGCTACAGTAAAAGACTCTCAGAAACAGTCACATCTAATTTTTTTTGCTACAATAAAAAACTCTCACATCAAATCACACATCAACTCGAATCAACGAACTAAACAGGCGCGTAGTATATTACTCGGTGCTCTCTGTCACTTTAGAACAGCATGCAACATCGGACGGAGTTTTACACCATATTTATGGCATAATTTGCAGATACTATGGCGTGAATTAATCCATCACCGACCCTAGATTGGTAATAACCTCTCTCGTTGCAGTAGATCCCTCAAACAAATGTGTTGATCTACTTACACAAAAAAACAACACCATCAAGTTTACTAAATACCGTATATTGCTTTTTTAACTTACTTTTAAAATACAATTAAAATTCAGTGTCGTTGAATAAAATTTTCATATTCTACATCAATTCCACCAATGTCAACATTGCTTATTACGTGATTTTCATTGATTTGATCCTTATCATAACTTTGGAACATATAGTGACCTCGACATCTATTTTGGATTATATATTGGCCAGTATAAAAAATAAATCAATTGGCTAAAATATATAAAATAAATAAATTAAACGCTATTCTCTCAAAAAAGAAATATCTTCAGGAATTTTATCGGTGTTAAACACCATCATTAATAGAAGGTGTGTCTCATTTGTGAATTTCGTGGGACTCTCACTTTATATTAATTGGTGGTATTATACGCCACCTGTGCCCTATGGTATTGTTCATCTCACTTGATGGTAAAATGTCATAACTGGAACATGCCAAGTATTTCGCCTTTAGCTCTTTTATGTCTCGCAGTTTCTTTTATTCTTTTTTTTTTTTTGAAATGATTGTCACACTTTCTGATAGGAAAAGAAGAAAGGAAATGCAAAATATGTGCAGCAGTACTTCATTTATCAAAAATATGATCTGAGAAGTGAAGCCAATTTAATATAAATTACACATTGTACATGAAGAACAAGGAAGTTCAAGAGTCTGCAAAAATTGCAAAAAAGGGAATCGTTTGTTTGTGTAGATAAATTACAATTACAAGATTTATAAATTACACATTCATCAAAGCAACATTTTGAAAGCTAATATAATCAAACTGAGGACCAAAAAGTGACAAGATTTCTGTTTGGAACTACCATTTGGTAACATTGGGAAGTCATCAGGTGGAGGCATTTGGCAGCTCTCACCATTGAAATATATTCTCCTAGGGAGGGCCCATCCACTTCTTAATGTAAATGAGTCAAAGTCCTTTTTCAATAGCATTTCTGTACTGACGGAGCCAATTTGGTCCTTATCACTATCAAAATTCAACAACTCTTCATTGTAGTACTTTAGCCCCCAAAAGAGTGCCACCTCATCTGCAAGAAGTACAGAAAAAAAAAAAAAAAAAAACAAACAAACAAACGCAACAAAATTATAGGATTTGTCTTCTGTCCATCGTGAAGGTCCGTGCATGTAGAAGCTGGCGTGCAACAAAACATTTAGTGGACGTTTGGTTCATAGATTCAGAATTATTTTCAATTTACGTGTATTTTTTATGAAAGAAAATACTATAACGAATCACGAACTATAATTTAAATTATAATACAAATACACCAATCGAACGGAAGCTAACAATGCGTTGTTACATGGATAAATGCCTTGTTTGGCCTTTTCAAAATCATTACATAAAATTAGATGTTCTACTCAACTCCAATTTCTACATGTTGCAGTAAGACCGGTCCTCCATGGAGGACTGTAGTCTTTACGTATGCGTGTGAAGTAACTAAACTTTTGGATAACAAATATGAATTGCTTAAGAGTACCTCCTAATCCAACAGCGGGAAGCAAAGTGGTGTTGAAACTAAATGTTTTTGCCAAATTCTTGAGACCAGGATGCTGAACAAGCACATTCCAGTCTGAGTAGTTTCTCTTGATGTTGTAGTTTGAAACTGTGAGCTTTACTCTCCAATGATCCTCATAATTATTCTTAATATGCCAATGTACTCGTATGGGGCACATATGATCAGTGCATTTCACTATGTCTGATGTAGATGATAAATCACCTCCTCTGCCAGTATGAGATGGAGAAATAGACAAGTGGCATTTAGACTTAAGTTGGCATTTTTTATTGGCAAATTAAGGTGTGAAAACTACATTATACCTATGTCATGTTTTCGCTTTTTGTGGCCTGAGTCTATAACATAGTTGTTCGTGCAGGTAAAGGTAAGAAACTTTATTACCTTATGCATAAATCTGTGCTCTTGTCTGCGTTTCTGCATCCACAGCTACAATTAGAGCATGGTGTGATGGCGTGATTGTAAAATGTCGAGAGAGAAACGCAACACATCGGTGTCTTGTTAGTCAAGAAACTGGAGTAAGTACATGCTGTTTTCCATGTTCCTGTGAAGTACGAACCACAAGCAGTGAAGAGGAACTTTAGAAGACAGTTTAAGGCTCATCACAACATTAACTAATTTGTATCAAAATCAAGTCCGAAAGAGGAAAAGTGATTTAAATCCCTCAAATCTGCATTTAGTTTTTTGCCAAGAGCCAAACTAGAAAAGACCCTTTTTGCTGTCAATTCTTATTTGATCATTATTTGAAATTGTCCAACATTCTATGGTCACGTCAAATAGTACTAGTGAAGTTGGCATGAAGTAACATACTGAAAACCGGAACGTGTCTTCTGCCTCCAATGTCTGAAGAAATTGTGGGGTCAGAGTCCAAAAGAGGGCCACAAGAGTAACCAGGACCTGGTGCCATTAAGGTAAGATTGACAGGCGCGCGCGCAGAATTGCTACCATCTAGTCTGCCAACTTGAACTTCAAAGGTAGAGAATGACTTTGAAGGATCAATAGCCGAGGGGTAAAGAGTGCCGCCGCGACAGCAGCCGTCCGTCATGTTATCCGGCGAAGCTTGATCTAGCATCAGGTCGGCTATAACGGGGTCTTTCTTGCAGGAGTGCGGTATTTGGGACTTGAACTCTGAACAATTCCCCATGTCCGTGGCAAATGCACCTCTCATTGACCAAATCACCTCTCTATTTGCCCATGTCCAACCTAGACTCCAACCGGGCTTGTCCACGTGGCGGTACTGATAGTGGTTTTTTATTGTAACTCTTGCCTGCAAACCAATTTCTGAGGCACTCAAAACATTATGTAAAATTTGTATACACTCGCAATTTGGTTATGAAGAGCCAAAACTAACCTAAAGTAACAAAAAGGAACAGACATAAAACTCTGCAAAGTGGATCTTATATATTCCATACATTATTAAAAGTATGTTTTTCCAGCATAAAAAGAGTAATTAATTTAATTGGTTCTAGTTAAATACTTGTAGTTTTGAGAAGATATTGGAATTACTAACCAGATATCCATCCGGGTTTGTGGTCCATTGGAGAATATCAAAAACAACTGTAATGTTTCCATTTGGATCCATAGGATCATAGCAATCTACAAAGCAGAGTAAAAAAAAACATAATTTAGCAAGAACCCTTTATTTCTCCACCCAAAATATTGAAAGCAAAGAGCAATATAGGAACAGTTTGGTGCCTGAGATACTGCAAATTGCAAGAAATATTACTGACTTCAGGGCAAAAGACCATACACGAAAAAGGGTAGTTGCCATTTTTTTTTTTTTTTTTGCTCTTCGGATATGATCAACGCAGTAGTTATGGACAGAAAGTTCTTTTATGTAGTAGAACAAGTTAATCTGGCCCCTTTATCGACTTGATTGACAAGAGAGTAAGTGTAGAGACGCCTAATAGTCCTGGTTTTCCATCATTGCCTTCCTCGGATCAAACAAGAGTTCTCATTGGGAACATCAACAGCATCAGAGCATACAAAATCCAAATGGATTGTTCCTTAGACGACCTAGTCTAACTTTGGTGCCGCACGTACGCATGAATTGTGAACAACTAACAGACGAAACATTTTTGGACTTGCCGTTTTGTCCAACTCAAAAGATAGTACCATAATACACTGTGCAGGACGGATTTGACTTGAATGTGAGCAAATCGATAAAATAAAAAATGAGTAAAAATAAAAATAATATAAATACATAGTATTTTACGTGAAAAATCTCTAAAAAAAGATGGGATAAAAATTATATAATAAGTGTAAAAAGATTTTATTATAAAAAATAGAAATTACAACATTCTTTTTAATTTATACGGAGAGAACAATAAGAATCATTCTTTTATGTAAATAGGAGAAATACCTCACAAAAGAAGAAAAAATTAGAGAAACTAAATTTCTCTCTCACTACGGAAATTCTCTCTTAAGGGTGAGAATGAGACCTATAAAACTTAAAACTAATGTTAAACTTAGAATTAATGCATACTAATGCATCGTTCATTTCATCGATTCGAGTTTTCAGTTTTAGATTTTTACAGTAAAAAGCTCTTAAAAAATGTCACATCTAACTTTTTCTGCTACAGTGAAAAGCTCTCAGAAAATGTTACATCTCAGCTCGAATTGAAAACTCAAATCTGCAAAGTGAACGAAACCTAGAATTGATTAACAAGCTCAGATAGTCAAACTTAAAACTAAGTGTTGTGGTTATATTAACTAAGTGTTGTGGTTATATTTAGCGAACGAAAAGATTGTGTGACCTATAAATTGATAGCAGCGAATTAGGCATATATAACAAGCTTTTCTCTTCATCACACTTATGAGAAGTCGAAATGGTGTTTATTGTTAGTTTATCAATTCATCCTAAAAGCTTAAGCTATTAGGAGGTGAGCTAATAATAGTTTTATACTTTAACACTCCTCCTCACGTGTGGGTTGGACAATAGACAATCGTGTGGGTAAATTAATTAGAAAGCACGTTATATTTAACCCTGAGATATATTAAAGACCCAACACATGATGACAATTTAAATGAGGATAAAGAGTGTAATTACGGGGTTTGAACTCAGGACATCCCGTTCTAATACTATGTTAGTATACCAATCCATCCCAAAAGCTACCATGTTAGTTTATCAATTCATCTCAAAAGCTTAAGCTGTTAGGAGGTGAGTCAACAATAGTTTTATACTTTAACACTCCCCCTCACGTGTGGGTTGGACAATGTGCAATCGTATGAGTAAATTAATTGAAAAGCCCAACAAGTGAATATTTAAGCCCGAGATATATTAAAAACTCAACACATGATGACAATTTAAATGGGGATAAATAGTGCAATTACACAGATTTAAACTCTGGATCTCCCGCTCTGATACCATGTTAGTTTACCAATTCATTCAAAAAACTTAAGCTGTTAAAATGTGTGCCAACAATAATTTTAACCTTTAACAATTGTGTTTATCAGTTTCGCAAATTTCCTCAATATGGAGGCTTCATCTTAGTGCAGAGTCACTTAATCCTCCATAGTTTTGTTATACACGAAGTTAATTTCACAGAGTAATGACAAATGAAGATACACAAAGTTAATTTCACAGAGTAATGACGCATCATGAAAGATTTTAGGACAAACATCATAAATGTAATAAGATATAATATTATTGTTGCCTCATTTCGTAATTATGCTATAATTTTGTGAATTGTTTAAAATTACAAAACCTTTTTCTTTATCTTACATATAATAAATTACTTGTTTCATAATTCATAATGTCCCGGGACAAGAGTTCATGTTCCTCATTAATAGCTTTTATATTTGGTGGCTTCTTCCCTCGAGAAAATGCACCAATCAGAGAGAAACTAAAGACGGATCAAACAAAACAAGCAAATCTTTTTCACGGCTTAAACACCCTATAGCGCTACTGGATCTACTAACAACACCAAACTTAAATGTATTTTGACTTAGGCATCGTTTATTTTATCGATTTGAGTTTTCAGTTTTAAGTTTTTACAGTAAAAAATTCTTAAAAAATGTCACATTTAATTTTTTTTTTCTACAATAAACAGCTCTAAAAAAATATCACATCTCAATTCAAATTAAAAATTTAAATTTACAAAATAAATGAGATCTTAAAAACATTACTACAGTGTATATTAGAATTTAAGCACCACATTTTCAGCTGAGACGATATTGTGTAGGATATGCGGTTTTGAACTTTGGGATTCACGAGATATGATGACTTTAAGTATGTGGTGCTTAGTATACTCTGCGTCATCAATATTTTGGAAGACAGTTTCATTGACATTGATGGAGTACCACCCTATTTATTGGATTTTCCCAACTTTTAGGCCAATAATGGGGAGATGGATAAATATCTTATCACAAAGTCAACACTTGATATCCTCCATCCTTGATCATAAATTTATATTATCAATTCAATTCCACAGTTTACACCCCAAAAAAATAAAAATAAATTATATTCCACAATTTCGATGATACTGTTATTTCTAACGTATTGTATATAAATACACAATCATATTTCCTTTCAGTAGGGACGATAATTTTACTTGCAGATACGAGTATCTGTAGATACCCGTTCTTAATAGGACAGATATAGAAGATGTTATATGGAGAGGGAGGTAGGTATGGGGGGTTAAAATTAATCCCCAAGTCAGGAGTGGAGTGGGAGTGGAGAAAGCTCCCCCGACCCCACCCGAAAATATATGTACTTTTATTTAATACATATTTTATATGTGTGTGTTATATTTTATAAAAGAATCTTAAATGAGATGTATAATTATTAGTAATTATAGAGAATCAAGATTTCTAAATGAGATATATATTTATAAGATATTAGTGGCTATATTGCTACATTTTATAATAACTTTAATAAAATTTGTTTTGAGTATAATAATGTTATATTTTTTTTAAAACTCTTATTTATTTCTTAATGGGTAAATGGATATGGTATGAAAAATGTTCTCCTAAAGAGGAATCTCCAACCCCGACCCCTCCTTAAATTAAGTGGGTATAGAGACGGGTATAAGGAATAAAAAAAGAGTAAGGTATGCGGGTGGAGGAAGCATACCCGTCATCGCCCCACCCCATTGTCATCCCTACTATTTAGTTAGTTAAAAAAATTAGATTTTTTAAATGATGTGACAACTATTTAGATATTTTTGAGATGTTAAAATTGTGCAGAAATCTGAATTCACATACATATGCACATACATACGTATTTATATTATAATGATATATGTAATAGTTGGCCAATGGCTGAAGGTTTATTAAAAAGACAAGCAACTGATCCGACTCGGCATTTGGTTAAAAACCAAAGGAAAGAAAATACACTCTTTCAATATTAAAAGGTTAGTTTTATGAACATGACATCATTTAGCTATTAACACCGTCAAGATATTTTTCGTAATATAAACTATTCAAATCAGTCATGCATAAAATAAAATAATAACCGTTAGGATTTTAGTTGGCAATTTTTAAAAACGGGTTTTTAAGAAAATTTAAAAAATAGGTTTGAGAAGATGATGACGTGTTGAGTAAATTTATCTGATCAAAGTATTTAAATTTTAAGATGAAGTGATGAGTTTCAGAAAAGATAAATTGCTAAAAACATAAAAACAAGGAGTCAAAGTTTTAAAGAAGATTTGATAAGATAATCCTAATTTAAATTGAATTGAATTAAAGTTCAATTAAAAATAAGATTTAGTCTCAGCAAGATAAAAGTTTCAGGTTGTGCATTTTTTATAAGAGATAATATGCAGAACTCAAGACCATTCATTTTGTGGGCTTCTTGGGGTTTCATGCATAATATTTTGTGAAGTTTCCATTATCATTCTTCGAGAGAAGAAGTAGTAGTCTTCAGGAGAAGACGTTTGCATTGTTGAAGAGAGTTCAACCATTTATCATTCTTCGGGAGAAGAATTTGAAGCTTTCAAGAGAGAGCAACATACAAGATGAAGGGATTTCGGGGTGCAGTTTTGAAGATGAGTGGTGCTCGCTGAATCAGGCCATCTAGTTGATTCTACACGGTGGCGACAAATTCAAAGAGGGAGTCTTTGGCCGTGTTTAGAATTGATTCATTTTTGTTTTTCACGTTTTTCGAGAAATAAAAAATAAAAACGTTTCTAAAACGGCGTTTGGCGCAATAAAGACAAAAAAAAGAAATGAAAACGATTTTTTTTTATTTAGTGTCAAATGAGAGAGAAATGAAAAACGACTTTTAGTCGTTTTTTATTTTTTATTTTTCGTTTTCTCCTATCTCGAGCAGAGAGAGAGAGAGACATTAATGTATTTTTTTATACTGAAAATAATCTCTTGATAAAACTATCAAATGTATTTTTAAAAATGATTTCTGTATGAGATTGAAAACGTTTTTATTTTCATTTTCATACAAAAAATAAAATTATTTTGGAACGAGTTTTAAACGCGCTCTTTATTTGTATAAATCCGATTGATATTTGTAATCGTTGAGAATTAGTGGATGATTTAATATCTGAACGTGACCCTACAGATATAAATAATTACTGAACCGCGATACGAATTTTCTGTGTCTATTTATTTATTATTTTCATAATCTATTAATTTAATTTGATAAAATAATTGCGAAAAACGGATGTATCAATAACAAAAATGATATGCAAAAATCAATGACGTGATGTTTGGACAGCATTGCCGAATAAATAAAAAAGTGATTGGCCCATAACGTGGTTCAATGGGAAAGAAGTTGAAATAAATGGAGTGAGAGCACTTCCTAGCTACCATATATCAACTGCCAACTCAATGATCTCATTAATACTAGCAATATATATACAAATATGCATTTGTGAACCAGACATAGAGGAGATAAGGCTAAGAAACTTGCAATTCTTAGGCAATTCGATGGCCGGAAATGTAGCAGTCATGGGTGGTGATGCGAATTTCCATTCTGGCTCTGGGGGGAGAGTTCTACCTTTCTCAGCTGAAAGGTACAATGTACAAACTTTTCATTTTTTTTTTTAGAGATTTTTTGGTACGTTAGATCTTTCTAATCGTTAAATCTACATATATTTTAATTTTTATGTAATTTTATACGAATTTAACAGTTAAAAAACTTGACTTATCAGTAAGTTAAACGTATCAGTAAAAGTATTTTTTTTTTGTTCTTTTTATTGTTTTTGCTGAAAGTACAACTTTGACTTCAGTTAAGCCTGTTTTAGTGACATGAGAGTTGGAAAAAAGACAAAATTGGTGAAATGTTTTGTCACACTCACATGTAGCGATTCTCAAAATGGTATTGCAGGCCACATCAATCGAGGAATAATGCTGAGGAGGAAAGAAAGAAGCACTCCAACCCCACTACTTTTTGTCAGCTGTTGGGCTTAGATGAGCTATTCTCTTTGGAGGTCAGCATATGATGTGCAATATTAGTCTATTTATGCACTTAGTCATAGAAAAGAGAGATAGAAAAGGAATTTTAAAAACAAAAATAGTATAAAATAGACCAATATGAAAAATTTAAGAAAGTATATAAGCTAACTTTTAGTTATAGAAATTAATAGGTCATAACTTGTTAAGTTATGGTTCATAACCAGATAAGTTATGGACAAACTTGTCAAGTTATGGTTCATAGTCAGATAAATTATGGATAAAACCTGTGAATTATGGACAATAACTTATCAAGTTATGGTTCATAACCAGACAAGTTATAGACGAAAACAGTAATTTGACATATTTATTAACTTATGTAAACTATTAGCCTATTAATTTTAATTCATCTCAAATCTTGGCCTATTTTTCTCTTTCTCCCTTTTAAAAATTTATGTGCATTATTATGCATATTATTTGTAGTCGGTGTGGTAGTCATCTCATTTTGGTATATCTACCTTTTGTGCCTCAATTTCACTTTAAGGTACCTTTATTTACTATAGCTCATGATGTATCGACACATGTGTGATGGTATTATTAATAAAATAAAAAAAAAAAACATGTGTGATGGTTGAATATAACGTAAAAAAATAAAATAAAGTATAATCGTTGAGTCTCACACTATTATATGACAGTGATATATGTGGCAATTGCATCACTAAAAATAATAAATAAATAGTTTCCTTTTACTCGGTGATTTTGATCCAAGTGAACGTACTAGCAATTGTATCATTTTTTTTATGACAATTTGGAGTCCTTGTTTAATAGGTTTGGAGAGCATCTTTGGCAGAGCTTGTTGGCACGGCAATCTTGGTCTTTGCACTAGACACCATAGTGATTTCCTCCTATGAGACCATAACAAGTGCACCAAATCTCATAATGTCAATTCTCATCGCCATCATCGTCGCAATTCTCCTCATCGCAACCAACCCCGTCTCCGGTGGCCACATCAACCCGGTCATCACGCTTTCCGCTGCACTCGTCGGCATCATCTCCCTCTCCCGGGCGGCCATATACATTTTGGCTCAATGTGTGGGAGCCATTTTAGGTGCACTAGCACTCAAAGCCGTGGTAAACAGCACCATTGAGGAAACGTTCTCACTAGGAGGCTGCACCCTCACCGTCATTGCACCAGGGCCCAATGGGCCCTCAGTTGTGGGGATAGGGACGGGCCAAGGCCTGTGGCTTGAGATCCTCTGCACGTTTGTCTTTCTTTGGGCTTCAATATGGATCGCCTTTGACCACCGCCAGGCCCAAGCCCTGGGCAAAGTTGTGGTCCTGTCCATTGTCGGAATAGTGGTGGGCCTGCTGGTTTTTATCTCGACGACCGTCACGGCGGCGAAAGGCTACGCCGGCGTCGGGATGAACCCGGCTAGGTGTTTGGGCGCGGCACTTGTTCGTGGGGGCCACCTCTGGTACGGGCACTGGGTATTTTGGGTTGGGCCCACAATTGCTTGCGTGGCATTTTATCTGTACACTAAGATAATTCCACGTCAGCATTACCACGCCGAGGGATACAAGCATGATTTCTTCAACGTTGTAAAAAGCCTTTTCTAGTAGGTGGTACACATGTAATATGTAAAACGTCTTCTATAATTAAATATATAAAAAAAAAAAGGTCTTCTATAATTTATCTTTTCAAGTTCAGTGTGTTTGTAACTTCGTAATATGTAGTTTGGCATCCTTGCGGAACTCATTGAGAGGTCTATCTACTTTTAGCTGTCGCTTTTTCCATTAAACGTCGTCGTATGTTATATGAAAGGAAATTGTGTTGCCAAATTGTAGTTCTTTTTTGTTTTACCTTCAAAAAAAAAAAAAAAAAACTAGTTTTTCTGTATGTTCTGAATTAATTATCGCAATTTATCCGCTAATTACATAGTAACCCACCTGATAAACTGACCAATGAAAAAGGACATGATATACCTTTTTTTTTTTTTTTTTTTTAAACAATGAGTTTTGGCTCACATGGGAATTTTGTATGTGGTATATATGTACGTAGTATGTCAAGATCGACTATATAAGGTGCGTTTAGTAGATGGATCTAAAATCATGATTTTAGATTTTGGTTCATAATTAGTGTTTATTTACAGTAATTTTGAATAATGATTCAGAATCAGTGTTTGGTTTGGATGATTCTGAATCATGATTCAGAGTCTGATGTGATGTTTTAAACTAGCTTAAATCATGATTCTAAAACCACCGCCTCTTGATTCAAGGTGATTCAAACCTCTTATTATGAATCATGATTTTAGAATCATAATTTGAACCCAACATTATGAATCATAATTTTAATTTTAGAATCATAATTAAAATCACTATGATTTAAATTCTTGTGCCAAATAAATCCTAAAATACAATGGTGGAATATGCTATGCTCGCATTTCAAATTTTGACTTTTAGGCTTAAAGTTTTTTTATACTCCTACTTTATTAAAAAATAATAATAATAGAAGTTATACCCGCTTAATAATTGAAATGTATAACTATATTAAAAAAAAAATCTCTCTATCTGTTTCGTATTGTTTTCTGTCACCACTATATATACACATGATTTATAGATATATGGAATTATGGAAACAATAATGTAAGTTCTTTCTGCAGAGCCAACTAGCTAAATATGAAACGTGATTACTAATATTTGATAGGAAGAAAGAGAAAAATAGGCGAAGACTTGAGATAAATTAAAATTAATAGGCCAATAGTTTATATAAGTTAATAAATAGGCTAAATTACTGTTTTCGTCCATAACTTGTCTGGTTATGAACCATAACTTGACAAGTTATTCCCGGTTTTTGTCCATAATTTGTCTAGTTATGAACCATAACTTGACAAGTTTATCTATAACTTATCTGGTTATGAATCATAACTTGACAAGTTATGACCTATTAATTTTTATAACTAAAAGTTGGCTTATATACTTTCTTAAACTTTTCATATACTTTCTTAAACTTTTCATATCGGTCTATTTTCTACTACTTCCCTAATAATTTGTGTTGATTATTCATTAATCTAAATTATCTATTAAAAAAAGTAATATATATATATATATATATATGTTGTTCATTGTAAGAGCTAAACCCGATAAGCATCCTCGTCCACGTAGAATGAATATGCTTCTACAAAGTAAAGCTCAGTCATACCATTTCTATTGATTTCCACGCCACGTGAGGTAATATATATATATACAGTATTTCTTGTTGAGAGTACTCTAATTAACATCAAATAAAATTCTTCGATTATTTACGCGGACTTTTGTTGTTTCGTTTCCAAAATACCTAAATTCAACACCATTAATCCTTGACAAGTATATTGAGATATTTTTGGATTGTGAATTATAGGGTGGGGCCAATTTGAAGACCGTTGATCAAATATAAAGTCCTATATTGATCTGATTGCAAAGTTGATGCGAAGAACATGGATGTGGTTGTGTCGGCCAGTAGTAGTGTTGAAGCTGATCCACAATTCAGGAGACAAGTGGAACACCGTGAGGCTAGTAGTACTGATAATAGACTGACGAGAAGCGATCATGACTACTCCTTACGGACCAAGTTTCTTGCTTGCATTGGTGCCCATGAATTTTTCTCACCCGAGGTAAATATGTCAATGACTCTTGCTAACATTTTATTAAACTACACACATCATATATATATATATATATATATTAAAAAAATGAATATTAATATTGCCAACTTTGAATTTGCAAAATTGTTGTGGAGACAAAAGTAGCATATGATCCGTTTGATCCAACCCATAGGAAGAGAAGATTATGGCCGTATTTAGAATTGATCCCGTTTTTTATTTTTTACGTTTTTTAAAAAAGAAAAAATGAAAACGCTTTTAAAATGGCGTTTGACACAATAAAGACAAAAAATAAAAATAAAAATGATTTTTTAGTTTAGTGTAAAATGAGAGAGAAATGAAAAATGACTTTTAGTCATTTTTCATTTTTTATTTTCGTTTTCTCCTCTCTCGAGCAGAGAGAGAGAGACATTAATGAGTTTTTTTATACTGAAAAGAATATCTTAATAAAACTATCAAACGTATTTCTAAAAATGATTTCTGTCTGATATTGAAAACGTTTTTATTTTCATTTGCATATAAAAAATAAAATTATTTTAAAATGAGTTCCAAATGCGTACTTCTTATCACGATTCTAGTTTTTTTTTTCAATTCAATCTGATCTAGCTAGTCCAATAACAGTTCCACCTTATCGTTCTCATCACATGTTCGAGATTCTTTTCTATCATAAATGATACACATGATGAGATAAGTTCTCAGTACTGTTTGCTGATTGAATTAAACACTTAAAGGCGTCAAATTATATCATATTTGCGTATTGACTAATTAGATAAGTATTCACTTCATTATTAATGAATGCCATTAAATCGTCAAATTTTATTAGATCCACATATTAACATGATAATAATTTAGTATTTAAAAACAAGTACCACTTATAGTGTAAATCAATCATTATTTGCGACATCGATAAAAAAATCAATAAGACTAAAACGAAATGCATTAATACGTGAGTGGTCATGTGGATTAAATTGATCCAGATGTGGAGGGCAGCCCTAACTGAATCAGTAGCAACAGCTTGCCTTATGTTCAGCCTGACATGTTCCATAATCTCCTGCCTTGACTCCCACCAGGCTGATCCCAAGCTTCTAGTCCCATTTGCGGTCTTCATAATAGCATTTCTTTTCCTAATAGTAACCGTTCCTCTTACCGGCGGTCACATGAGCCCAGTCTTCACCTTCATCTCGGCCCTCAAGGGAGTCATCACTCTCTCCCGGGCCTCCATCTACGTCCTCGCCCAATGTGTTGGCTCACTAATGGGCTTCCTCGTTATCAAGGCCGCCATGAACAAGCCCGCAGCGGAAAAGTACTTTTTGGGCGGCTGCGGCATAATGGGCCACGGTGGAGCCAATAGGCTGGAGCCCAACACAGCTTTAGTGTTGGAATTCGCATGCACGTTTGTGGTCTTGTTTGTTGGGGTGACCGTGGCGTTGGACGAGAGAAGGTGCAAGGAGCTTGGGCTTGTAATGGTCTGTGTTGTGGTGGCTGGCTCCATGGGCCTCGCAGTTTTTGTGTCCATTACTGTGACTGGACGGGCCGGATATGCTGGGGTGGGCCTGAACCCTGCAAGGTGCTTGGGCCCTGCGCTGCTGATTGGGGGTGAGTTGTGGTATGGGCATTGGGTTTTTTGGGTTGGGCCCTTTTTAGCTTGCTCCTTGTACTATGGGATTTCTATGAATCTGCCTAGGGTGGGGGTGGGTTTGGTGGATGGTGGAGAGTATGAATATGACATTGTGAAGTTGAGTGGGGCATGTTTTGGTGGAAGTGAGCGTTTTCCCAGTCTTCAGAGGCGAACTTGAGTCAATTTGTGTAAAATCGTGGATAGTTTGTGCAGAGGGGCATTTAGGCCTCGTTCATTTCACCGATTCGAGTTTTCAGTTTTAAATTTTTACAGTAAAAAACTCTTAAAAAATGTCACATCTAACTTTTTCTGTTACAGTAAAAAGTTCTCACAAAATATTACATCTCAGCTCGAATTGAAAACTCAAATCCGCGAAGTGAACGAGACCTTAATGTGATTTCCTCTAGCTATTCCTTAATTTCGTTTAGTGTCGTGAAGTCAATTCACAGTCAAAAAATGGAAAATCTTGATATAATTATAACTTTTATGAACCTCATGAACAATCGTTTCTCAATGTATCTAATTATTAATATAGTTGTCTAGTTCTAGAAGGAAACATTTTTTTTTTAATATTTTTAAACTGCCAAGGTAAAACGACAACGGTTTTCTTCATAAAAAATTTCATGTTGTTTCCATTAGACGACATTAAAGTCGAGGTATAACTACATGTCATCTTCTTTTAAAAAGAAACCACGTCGTTGAAGTAACACAAAACGCACACCCATTATCGCAACAAAAAAAAAAAAAAATAGTAATAAGTAAATAAATAAATAAAAATACACCCACAAAATGCACATTGTGGTTTATTAATTTTATGTAAATTGTTGTCGTTCTAACTTTAAATATCGTTTATTCCTCTCAATGTCGTTTTTCATGTTGTCATTCGCCATCATTTAAAGTTGACATATCGTTGTCGTTTATTTGTTAGTGTAATTTTTACTGTGTACCAGCGTTTCCAATTCAGTGTAGCTTTGTTGTCCTAAATGATACTATAGTCGTTTATGCTCTTGTGTCGTTTTCATTTCGCGGCTTTGACGTTGTTCTTTGTTATTTTCTTGTGGTTTTTATGTTGTTGTCGTTTGTTATTTTCTGTTGCTCCAATTTTGTTTATCGTGCTTATAAATTATGTAAAACCTTTGTCTTTTACTTTGTTCTCCTTTTGGAGTACTGGGTATCTCAATGTTCTTCCTATCTGTGTCGTTTTTCATATTGTCGTTAACTTCTCATCATTGTCGTTGTTGCTCTTGGTGTCGTTTCTAATTCCTCTTACATTGTTGTCGTTTATTATTTTGTGCCTCATGATTTTTATGCTGTTGGTGTGACGGTCTCCTTATTCATGTGGTCCTGCTTTCCGTGGGTTAGAAACAGCTTTTGTGTTGGAATTCACGTGCACGTTTTTGGTCGTCTTGGTTGGCATAACGGTGGCGTTTGACGCCAAAAGGAGCAAAGAGCTTGGGTTGACAATGGTTTGTGCTCTTGTGTCGGCGCCAATAGCTGTGGGAGTGTTTAGGTGCGTTTGAAACTTATTTTAAAATAATTTTATTTTTTTTACATGAAAATAAAAATGAAAACATTTTTAATTTCAGGTAGAAATCATTTTTAAAAATGTGTTGGATAGTTTTATCAAGAGATTATTTTTAGTATAAAAAATCCATTAATGTCTCTCTTTCTACTCCAGAGATGAGAAAACGGAAATAAAAAATGAAAAATGACTAAAAGTCATTTTTTCATTTCTCTCTCATTTTACACTAAACTAAAAAATCATTTTCATTTTTATTTTTTAACGTTAATTGTGTCAAATACCGTTTCTCTCTCATTTACATTTTTTTTCTCGAAAAACGTCAAAAATAAAAACAAAAACAACTCTGAATGTGTTCTTTGGCCCAGTGGTGTTTGAAGGAGGCCTATTATGGTATACCCAATGGGTTTTTTGGGTGGGCCCATTTTTGGCCTGCGTCGTTTACCATCTTCTATTCAAGAGTTTCCCCAAGGAGGGTTTGGCATCAAGAGAAGAGGATGGTGTCGTTTAGAAGTAGCAACGCCTTTTATATCTGAAAAATGCACTTATTACGGTTGGTTGTGCAAATATGATGCAATTATTACAAATATAACACTGTGTCAAACCACTACTTGTGAGATCCAATTAGTATACCTTTTTTTAACCGTGCTGCTACACACATGGTGATACATTACAAATGGAGATGAAAAAGCAATGCTCTTGTTTTTTTTTTTTTTTTTTTTTTTTTTT